AGAAGGGATTGCGGCGTGACCATCCCCCCTGGGGGGTGATTTCTCGCTTTCTGTCTCTGTCTCTCTCTGTCTGTCTGGCGAGCGCACGCACCCTATAGCAAAAACCTCTCAAAAAAAAATTCATTAAAAAAAAAAGATTTGGGCCACTCACACTCACGCACATGTACCCAGTGTGAGTTTTAAGCTGCTGGGTCTGGGACTTGAACTGCAGTTGACGATGTGGGAGTCCAGCATTAAGCCATCTGCTGGTCCCAGAGTGAAATAATTACTGGACAGACACCCGCACCTCCCCCGTGAGCACGCTGCCGCGAGGTGCAGCAGTTACGGGCAACACCGTTAGCAAGGTGCGCTGACGGGCGGCGTGGGCCAGAGCTGCTGTTAGCTAACGCCCGGCGCCATCACGGGCTCCTCAGGTCCCCCCGGACCCCTCCGGGACCCCAGGACACCTGCTTCTGCTTCTCCGGTCTGCTTGGTGGCTCGGACTGCTTAGATGACTGATGGCGTGGGGGCACTGTGCACACGGCCTCCCCCAGGCTGCTCCCCACCAGGCCGGACGCTGCAGTGCACAGCCCACACCCACGGAGCCGAGGGCGGGCTGCATGCTCCTTGGCGGTGTCCGGTGCGCTGTGACAACGGCAGCGACCTTGAGCACGTTTCCCAAGCTCACCACGTGCCGCGCCTCTTTGGCCTTCTCCATGCTCCTTGGTACCCCAGCTCCTGCTCACACCCTCTTCCTCACCTCAGGGGGCTCAGAGCAGCTGTGTACCCTGCCCTGGGCCACGGCGAGGACCCCACTCCTATGCTCCTTGGCGGTGTCCGGTGCGCTGTGACAACGGCAGCGACCTTGAGCACGTTTCCCAAGCTCACCACGTGCCGCGCCTCTTTGGCCTTCTCCATGCTCCTTGGTACCCCAGCTCCTGCTCACACCCTCTTCCTCACCTCAGGGGGCTCAGAGCAGCTGTGTACCCTGCCCTGGGCCACGGCGAGGACCCCACTCCTGGGCCGCTGCCTCCGTGCTCGCCTCCCACTCTACGCTGCACACGGCCGCCCCCCCGTCCCCCTGGGCCCTGGAGTGTCACTGTGGCCGCCAGCCCCACCCTGTCCTCCTGGCCCCTGGCTGTGGCCGTCAGCCCCTAGCTCATCCTCCTGGCCCCTGCTCACTGCAGCTGTCAGCCCCCACCCCGTCATCCTGGCCCCTGGCCGTGGCTGTCAGCCCCCACCCCGACCTCCTCACCCCTGGTCTCTGTGGCCGTCAGCCCCACCCCATCCTTTTGGCCCCTGCTCACTGCGGCTGTCAGCCCCCACCCCGTCATCCTGGCCCCTGGCCGTGACTGTCAGCCCCCACCCCGTCCTCCTCGCCCCGTCACTGTGGCCTGCAGTGCACACATGGCTCTACCTTCGCCTGGACAAAGCCCAAGCTGGAGCAGTGACATGGGCTTCCTCCCCCCACCCATGCCTCCCAGGAAAGTGGTACCCGGACACGGGGTGACCCTGCCCAGGCGGCACTCAGAGCACCTGGTGTGGAGGGAGGAGGGCAGACGTGGCTCCAAGGCCCGTTCCGACAGGGCTCCACACTTCCCGGCCTCCCGGGCTCTGGAACTTTCTGGTTACTGATTACAAGTGCTTTAATCTGGACTGAGGAGAGGGAAGAGGCACTCTGATTGGCGGGCCCTCCCTTGGCAGGAGGGGAAGTTGGCAAGCCGAAGGTGGGGGGAGCCCTCCTTGCCGGGCACAGCCTGCCCCGTGATCACGGATAAGTGGCCACCCTTAGGCCAAACTCAGCCGAAACTGGGTTAGGCTGGCCAGAGAGACGGAGGTGGAGACGGTCAGGCCTGGTGGACACCTCGGAAGGTCCCTGCAGCCGAGCCCAACTTTCAGACCCTCAGGCCTGGCCTGCCAGGGAACAGCTTGCTCGAGAAGCAAGGGCTGTCACCCTGTAATTAAACCCAAGACCCCCCTCCAGTGACGATGACATGAAGCCACTTACATAACACAACTAAAAATAAGCTGATGAGGACGTGCACATTCCTCCCGGCGCCCAGGGCTTTCCCGAGCACCCATCCTTCCCGGGGGCGCTGGGGCCGGCGTCGGAAGCTCGGGGAGCTGGGTTCACGTTCTGGAGCCCCCTCGCCTCAGACCTCGGCTCTGCACAGCCTCTGGCTGGTGCTGGGCACGGACCCTCGGCTCAGCGCTGGGGTGCTGCAGTCTCCATGGCTACCGCCCTCCGCAGTGGCACCTCCCGCCCAGGCAAGGCCTGCCGGCCACAGCGAGAGGGACAGGCCGCTCTCAGCACACTGCTCCTGGCGCCAGGGCTGGGCAGAGTGGAGAAACCCAGCCCACAGGGCGGCCTGGGCCAGCTGTGGCTGCAGTGTGACCTCCGGGGCTGCTCTCTGGGAGGGTGTGGGGAGGGAAGCCCCTCCACCTCCACACGGCTTCCTTTCACGTGTCTGGAGGGGGGTGGGTGAGACCCCAGACGGGCCGTGGTTCCCCAGCTGCACCGACCCAGGACCCAGGAGCCACAGAGGGGAATAGAAAAGAGACTGCAGGGAGGCCACGCCCCCGGGGGGGTTCTCACTCTGTCTCTCCCTCCCCAGGAAGACGACCACGTCGGGCATGTGTGTGTGCGTGCCCAAGAACCCTAGAGGAGAATGGAGACGAGGAGACGTGAGTGGGCAGCTCCCCGGGGGGATTTCTCGCCTCCCCTCTCTCTGGTGCTCACACTGGCTCTATGGCGAGAACCTAACAAGGTGTGAGGCCGGCGCCGTGCCGGTGGTCGAGGCAGCCTGATCCCACGTGGCCAGCTGAGGCATGAGTCCCGGACCCCGTGGCTTGTGCACACGTGCCCAGAATTTCGACAGGATGGAGATGGAGAAGGGATTGCGGGGCTCCACGGGTGGTCGCGCACTCTGGTGAGCACACATGCTCAGAGCACCCTCCTAGCTCTGCCTAAAGCCAGGTCACGGGGCGCATGTCCAGCCCAGCAGCTGGCCTGTCCACTCTCAGGACCCTGCCCCTTTAAAGGGGCTTCCACATGAGTCAGACAGGCCACAGAGGATGCTGGTGATGATCGGCCTGCAGCCAGGGCCTCCAGGGGTGCACAGGCCACACGCGGGCCAGGACACCTGCTCTCCACACCTCAGGGCCAGCTCTCCGGCCCACTCTGCCCGCTCCGCCCCGCGGCCAAGGGCAGCAGGGTTCTGAGAAGCTTCTTCTCACTGCCAGTTTTCCTGCCAGCTGTCGGCCAAGGCGGGGCAGGAGGGGCAAGCTCCGGGCTGCCCACACCAGCCCAGGAAGAGGCCTGCAGAGCTGCCGGACAGCAGAGCAGCAGGACAGGAGCTTTGCTGGAGGCCGGCTCTTCGCTTTCCTGCCCGACAGCCCAGGAGAACAGGAAGTCCAGAAATTCTCCCAGGCTGCTTCCCCTGGAAGTGAGGACACCTCCATCTGTCATCTTGGTCCCAATGACTCAACTTTCCTTGGGTAAGATGTGCTTCCCCAGGACCACCAGGTGGCGTAGTGGTTGAGGTGCTGGACTCCCACATGGCTGACTGCGGTTCAAGTCCTGGACCTGGAGGCTTTTCTCACTTTCTCTGGGGCTGTGTCTCTGGTCAAATTAAAAAATAATAATACATAAAATAATTCTGATAAAAAAAGATGTGCTTCCCCTCTGCCCCTAGTCCCAAGGCCCGGCTGCCCTGGGGCTGGAGTGCGACGGCAGAGCTGCCCAGAGGAAGGGCAGGGCCAGGAGGATGCTCCAACTTTTCAGCCACGTGAGACGGACACCCCCTTGGTGAGAGCTAGTTTGAGCTGGCTTTCTGTCCTTGGCAACCAAAAGATCCCCAGAAAACAGAAACACAAGGATCTGCCCCAAACACTGGAGACAACAGGGAAAAAAAGGAAGCCAGGCCGGTAGCCAGGGGATTCACCAGGGCCAGGCAGGTGCTCACTTCCTTTTCCTCCTACCAGCAGGAGGCGGGGTCAGCCCTGGGCCCGAGCACGGTATGGGCTGGGGTCCGACAGCGAGAGCCTGCCTCTCCCCTGGGTGTAACCTGTCCAGGAACGGCGCTGGGGAAGTCCAGTTAATAACAGGACACATGCAGATCTGCTGTTCCACAGCGTAAAGCGGATACTTCCTCTACGTCGGTCTAATTTACGTAAATGTTTCTCCAAGAGGATTGGGCTGGGAGCGTGAGCCAACGCGGTCGGCGTCCTCCTCAGTCGCTGAGAACCCTCCTAGATTGGAGGCAGCTCCGACTCCTCCAGGGCTTCCACCCCACGAGGGTCCCCCCTGGCCCTCCGTCCCCAGGGATATGGGCCCCAGCGAGGACCTTGTGCCCGTACGCGGGTCCGGTCCCTGCTGAGCGCCCGCCCCCGTCCTGCGGGCAGGATTCCGCCCCACCGCCCTGGCCTCTCCGCAGAGCCTCCGCCCAGGGTCGCCCTCCCACCTCCGGGCCCTCCCCTCTCCAGACTCCTAGCCCCAAGGCCTCCGGTCCATCTCTAGGGTCCTCCTCCAGGAGCCACGACTCCGCAGGGTCCTCCCTGCTCCGAGGACAGGACGGGGTCG